TTCTTTCTTTCTTTCTTTCTTTCTTTCTTTCTTTCTTTCTTTCTTTCTTTCTTTCTTATACTACAGCTGCTCATCTCAGCCCAAGTGACTGGGCAGTGAGCAATTTCAATAATTAAAATCATTACAAGTTATACATATAGGCAGCTGACAAGTATCATAAACATTACCAAAAAACCAACAGGTTTTTCCTCAACCCCACGTTGTCTTTATGGGTCATGTTTCAGAAAATGATGAACATCATTAGAACCACGAGGTTTGAATATGTCAGTGTAAAAGTCCACAAACTGTGCTAGTGAAATGAAGATGTGCATGTCGGTAAGAAGCAAATAAGATCCAGTGGGTGTGGGGGAGAAAACCAACCGGTGTTCAGTTTGGCTGAATATTATTTACCACAGATTTGAGAATATGTTTTAACGAAGAAATCGGGGTTTATCATGACAGAGGGAGGCATGGGGGGGGGGGTGTTGCCTTTTTGAAAGTTCTCTGATTCCAACATGCAAGGAGATCCCCAAACGCAGCTTCTGTCACATCATTCAAAGATATTGTAAGCCTGACCATAAGAACCATCATCATGGTCCAGAGATGTGCCAAACAAACGAACTGCACAAATGAATGGTTTGTCTGCAGTGTAAAATTAATATTTTGATCTTTTTATAGTCTTATTGGGCCAGTGCCAAGGTGTGGGTGGCCTTAAGGCAAGTGGAGACAAATTCTGCCTACTACATCTTTTTCCTTCTTTAAACTGATACCGGCTGAGCCCCAGTTCTTTTTCCCAACTGTCCTAGAAATTCTAGGTAGTTGAAGCGCAGGGATGGTCAGCACTCAGCGAAGACATCAAAGAACCGCCGAAGGCTTTTTCCATTGCAGCTTCAACGTGCATCAGGGAACATAGGTTGCCACAATGTAGTGCTGGCCCACAGGTCCGTAATCATAGCCAGACCTTTCCTCTGCTGTTTCCCCAGAACACCCCAGCTATTAAATGATTGGCATCTGGTTCACAATCGTTTTGTCACGCTGGCTGGAAACTGAGCATGTTCTCAGATGGTGAGTGTCATTTTTATTATTGCTATAAAAAAATATCCCAAAGGAGTCCAGAGCAATGTACAAAAAAGAATTCAATTAAAAGAAAAAAACGTAATAAAGATTGGTTGCAACCTTCTGGAACTAATGAAGCACCAGAAGACTGAAGAGCAAATAATATTTCAATATCCAAAAAGGGGAAGAGGGTCACTGGGAAATGAAAAGTGTTACAACTTTTGTACTGAGCAAGGTACTAGGACAAACTGTCAAGCAGGATGTCTGTGAGAACCTAATAAGGAACGCTGTCCTCGCTCGGAATTAGTGCCAGCTTGTAAGCAGCAAAGTATCCCCAACTCACTTTATTCCTTATGACAGGCTGACTAGCTGGGAAGACTAAGGAAGAGGAGGTTGCCCCTGGCTCTTGGTAAAAGCCCTGGACGGAGATTTTCAGGATAACTTTTTGCACAGCTGGAAAAATGTTGGCTAGGCGGGCACCTTTTTGAACAACTGCACAAAGGAAGCTTACACATGGCTACACTCTTTTTAAACAAATGTTACTGCATTTTTTTTAAAGCAGTACAATTAATATCCATTAATAATAAACATTTAAACTCTTATTTTTTAGAAAGCTGAGTAAAACTAAGAAAAAAATTGAAGAAAAATAAAGGAAAAAACCATAACTCAAGACTTCAACATTTCTTTATTTTTCATTAGTATCAAGCTCTACATTTTATGAGTGTACAAATCATTACAGTTCAGTTTCTAAAGGACTTGGACTATGGGATCATATTGTCTGATCTCACCTCTGTCAGTATAGAGTTAATTCAAAGGCTGAGGATTGACACATTTCATTAAGCTGACCTTTAGAGTCTGATACAGAGTCATCCTTCCTGTAATGCATAACCCTCTGCTTCACAATTGTTTCAACACAATATAATCAAAGCTCTTCATGCATTTTTGGAATAGAACTTAAGAGGACATTGACATCTTTAGACCTTAACTTCCTTCCAAAGACCTTGTTCACCATAGTAGTAATGGCTACCCAATAAAGAACTACAGTACTTGTGGGGAATCCACATGCACATTAAACTTCCTTCAACAAGAAAACACCCAATCTCTTTTAAATATTATGTTATCTGCATTTACAGTAACTGGTATCCCCAGATAATGAATGGTGTTTGAATGATAAATATTAATTTTTTGCCTACATCTATCAGCATTTCATTACCTACTGACATATTATTCAACATTCCATGTTACTGTATACTCAGAATATTTTATCATATAGGTTTTCAAAAATGGAAACATCTTTGGCAATCTCACACACACACACACACAACCTAATATTTGAATTTGGTTCCATGCATTCCCTAAGTACTGTGCTTGTTTTATTAAGCACACCAGAGATTTCAATGCCAAATTAAATATTAAGGGAGATAAAAGGTGTCCTTGACAGTTCTGCGTCATCATGGAGAAAAATATGGCTCTCGAGAGAGCTTCAGCCAAATGCTATTTCATTAATGAATGATCTAAAGGAGGGAATAGGGGGCAGCCTTGTTCAGTTTGCAGATGACACCAAGTAGGGTCATCCTCCCAAGAGAGAAGGATCTAAGTAGGCTATAAGCCGAGCATGAGCAAGGAGCTGTACAACCGAGGAGGCCAATGCAGTCCTGTTCTGTTCATTAACAGAAACACTGTTCCACTCATGAGAGAGAATAGTTCCATTGGAGGCTGACTGGCTAGTCCATGCCTGGAGCACTGTGGAACTGGAACAGGTTCACAGAAGTACCGTACACGGATGAGAAGGATCTGGAAACCACGTCCTATGAAGGCAGTGAAAAGGGCTGAGCATACCCAGCTTGCAAAAGGGGAGATCTAGAAGGTTTTCATGGGCAAGAGGGGCAGACCTGTTCTCTACTGAAAAAGAAGTCAGAAGAAGCCCCAGCTGGTTGAGTCAGAGATTCAGACTGAATATTAAAGCTGCCTAGAATAAGGAGAAGCCCTCCCCTCACTGAATAGCAGTGTCTGCAATAGTTGAACAGGCTCCTGCCCTGAGCAAAGGGCTGTTTTAGATGACCTCTAAAGTCCCAATTCACATGATCCTCAGTTTAAACTTTTGCTTCCCAAGCATGAATTAAGAGGTCAGCAGTGCCTCCATTTGAAGCAAATTGCTGCTGCTTTTTAAAATGTTCTTAATCACCTCTCTCCAAAATTCCAGCAGGAGCTCAGCTTATTCAGAATCAGTATTTATTTATTTATTTTATCCTTTCTTTGTTTTCATTCTTTTCTGAAAGCCAGAAAAAAGCCGGTACTAAATAAACCTTCTGACGAAGCTTCCAGCTGTCTTCCAAGACAGGGACTGTTTTGACAAGAATGTGTAAGTTTCTGCATTCCAACTGTGCCACGAGGGCTGGGGAGGCGAGGAATTGTTCCCTAAAACTAACTTTTGGGCCAGGTTAGGAAAAAAGCAAACATAAAGGACGAGGAAGAAAAGTCACAAAACAAACCTCAACTTTTGTTTCTTTGGACAATTATATTCCTAGGACGAAAATCAGCCTCTATAATAAATGTGAAAATACAGAAGCACAGACCATACAGATTTTTTTTTAAAAAAAGTAGGAAGAGAAATCCTCTTCTGGAGACTTGAAATATTTATAAAGTTGCCCTTGTACTAATATCAGGAAAGTTAGATTGTCTTAGATGGCTCTAAATTAGTAAATGCAAAATACAAAATACGATCAACTGTGGGCCAAAGCAAGAGCAAGGAAATGCTCTCTGTCCGCTCCTTGGAGAGGCAGCCCTCTTGCCGAATGGCAAAGG